ATAGTAACTGATCAGGTTTAAAACTTAGTAAAAGACTCGTATATTGTTTTGTTTTGCATTAGATTTCAGTTTTTTTAGTCAACTCTTTTATAAATAGTTTTTTTTTTCCCCTTGGGGTTACATTTTGAATACATTTGAAGTTTCAATAAGTGTCACATATATCCAAGATATGGGGACATTCCACGCCCATTGCTTCCTTCATCATTTCAATTTTGAATATTTCAAGTCATGATTTCAAAATGTTAATGGCCATAACATTTTCTCTTGTACATTTATAAATTTACACAACATAAACTGGATAGTGAAATTGCAACGTACTGGGCACACTTCTCTCTGACTAATTTATTTTGTGATTGGAAACACGGTGGGTGCGGTTTTTAAAGTGGTATATATCAAACAATTTTGTATGTTTCCATTCACCAATTAATAGATTGAGGTGCGTTTTTTACCTTGTCAAAAAATTAATATTAAAAAATTGAAACACTGGCAAGTGCTGATTATAAAGGTGAAGAAGTTTAAAATGCGGTGCATATTTTACAAACTCCATATTTGATGCGGTTTCGACTGCGGTTTTTTTTTTCGTTAAAAAAAATTGAAAAAAATATATATAGATAAATCTTGTATGTAAAATACGTGTCTATTAAAAAAAAAATTGTTTCACTTATAAAAAGTGTTGGAAACAATTGTTTTGCACATTATGTTTTTTTTTTTCACCAATCAAACATTGTTTTGTCCCGTTTTTTTTATACAAACCGCATTTGTTCCGCAATCCGAACAAACCGCAGTTGTATTATACCGCACCGCACAATTTTTTTAGTCGCACCGCACAATTCAGTGTCACCATTCGGATCCTTTGAATGCGACTTTTAATGACGTACAATATAGTCATTTTCTGTACTTGTACAATAATAATATTCGTTGACCATATTTTTTGAGATTAGCACGAATTACTACCACCAGTCGGATAACTAAAATTGTAAATTATACTAGTTACGAAATTTCTATAAATTTGGGACTCAGTCCTCGACTGGTTTTTAGTTGCCTAAAATGAAAAGATATTAAGTGTCTCGTTTCATGAATACCACATATATAGCATGTAATTTTTATACAACTATACAATTCAAAAAATAAATGTACAATACCAATAACCAAACTTTTTTGGACA